GTGTCATAGCTGCGTAATGTCTCATTGATTCTCAACTGTGCTACAGTGAACCACGGTAAACAGATTTTCCAGCCAAATGCTGTTTTAATTAACAGAAAAATGATGGATGATTGGTGTTACTGAAGCTGGAGTTTGTGCTGCACTGTAAGTTTGACTGTTGGACATTCACTTGGCTCTCTTTTTCTCTCTGTTTATGTCCTGATGGACTTTTGTGGTCAGCTTTTACTTCCAATGCAACTGAAATCCATACAGCCATCTTCAGAGGAAATGAACTGTATAGAAGATGTCAAGAAAAAGCTAGATGATGTGTAAGTGAATTCCTCTTGTGTTAGGGATGAAAAAAGGCATGAATTATGGATGGTGTCAGAGATGTCCTGCCTTTTATACTTTACCTATGTGCTACACTACTGTATATGCTCCTCAGACTCTCTGTTTTCAGTCGGTCTTGCTAAGTGAACTGAAGCCATGCGAGAAATCAATAGCAAGCACCTTATATTGAGTGGCTGCACTGTTTCCTGTTGATTTATTTCGTCTTCTATCTGCTGCATGCTGACGCATTGCTAGCTGTTGTGTTGTTGTTTCTTTGTTTATTGAAGTTTTGTTCATTCATTTAATTCTGACAGGGTGATATCTGTGATACGCTCGGCTCTCATGGCATGTCTGTTTTGAAATGGATTATTTGGATAGATGAGGCAATAAGAAAGACTACGAGCAAGCGTGCATGGCTGTGAGTTTTTCTTTGCCCAGCATTTTAGTTTTGATTTTTATACGGCGCATAAACTGTTTAGCATTGAGCTACAGTCTTTAAGCCACCTGTTAGTTAAATTAATAGCAGAGCACAGCAAGGTGTGTGTTTGCAAAGCACAAGGGAGGCCTTTAGTTAAAACTCAACACACACACACACACAGAAGACATTTACAAACAAACACATGATTTTTTTCTCTGAAGTATCTGCAAAGGCAAATCTAAAAAATGCAGAAAGTGTCCTTTAGTACAAATCACACTGCCCTCAAACATCAGCCGTAATCTTTGCATACACACACACACACACTGCCTGAATGACATGATTTTTGCCAGAAATTAAAGGAAAGGACACACTTGAAATGATCATCACAATATTTTTAATTTCAATATTAAATTCTCTTATTGCTCTTCATCATTTTATTATTTTAAATAATCAGGAAATCAGCTTTTGTTCTTTCACAGTGTACATTATAAGCCTCTATTGCCTTAAATGCAATAATAATAATAATAATAATAATAATAATAATAATAATAATAATAATAAAGTTTTGAATCAGAATATGACCTTGTGTTAAACACATTAATTGAGTGCTACATGTACTCGGATATAAATGAATTAATATGCAAACATGTCCATCCATCTATCTGTTTTCTGTACTGCTTATCCTACACTGGGTCACGGGGAGCCTGGAGCCTATCTCGGGACACAAAGCGGGGGACACCCTGGACGGGGTGCTAACCCATCGTAGGGCACAATCGCACATACACTCACACACCCATTCACACACTATGGACAATTTAGAGACGCCAATCAGCCTACAGCACTTGTCTTTGGGCTGGGGGAGGCAACCGGAGTACCTGGAAGAAACCCCTGAAGCACGAGGAGAACATGCAAACCACACACACCCAGGGCGGACGTGGAAATCAAACCCCCAACCCTGGAGGTGTGAGAAAAACATATCTAATGTTAGCATAATTTCTAACTTTAGCTCAAATCAGCAATACGGATCCTTTTTCTCAGGTTTGTAGTGTCGTGATCAATCATGTTCATGAAAACAATTGCTTTGTCTGGGTTTTGTTATTGAAAGTTGTGTGTCATTGCCTGAATCAGCTATCCATTCAGTTCAGTTTAACTGAATGGCCTAATCTTGTTTCACTACTTCGGAAATCAAATTTTTCCTGATGTAATATTGATGTTTCCTAATATAGTGGAATCTACTGATGTTCCATTTGTGGTTGATGCTCACTGTAATTTTAGTCATATGAAGTCTTTTCTTCGTAACATACCAACACGTCTGAGGGAAATATTGATATCCCTAACAGTTGTGTCTGGTTTTTCACTGTTACTCTGCTACTTAAGAGCTGCATCCTAGGTAACTAAGCCTCAGTCATTAGCTAGCTCATGCTTAGCGTCCATTTTTCTCCGTTGCCTAGCAACAGTGCTCTCAACATAACCTCTTAAATGGGCAACTTATTTTGTTCTTGCCTTCCTACATCGAGTTAACGAATTCACAAGTTCCTTTTGAATGCACCATAAGCTTCAAAGTTTGTAGTGATGATGTAGTCGCTACAGGGTCTGGGTCTTGGTTTTGCTCTAAATGATGAGGATTTCATGGTGAAAAGAAATTGAACAGACTAGATTTGATGAAGCACAAAAATAACCCTTATAACAATACAGAACAGGATAATGAGGCTTAGAAGGCACAGTGGAAAATGGCATGATGAAAATACTACAGCTAATACTGCTACTGATGATGATGATGATGATGATGATGATGACGATGACGATAGTGATGTTGGGATCATGATTATGACTGTTCCAGCAGCAGTGGGTTGAGCAGTGAGTGAGTTACAGAAATACAGATGAAATGGGAAAGCAGTGATGGACAGGTGATAAAACACCTGCCTTTCACTCTTGGCATGTACGACTCTCTCCATCTCGCTTTTACTCTGGGGGCTACACCTGCCTGAATGACACACACACAAGCGCACACATAACTACATCAGGGAATGCACTCAGAGCGTGTGTGTCATTAGCATTCAACTTACAAAGCCTGTAGCTCATCATGCTTGGGAATAAAGTTCATTAACGAAGAAAATATGTTAATAAATAAAGTTCTTATTAAATAAAGTCTCTTGTCTTAGCAAGTAAACAGTGTGAAGGGCATTAATATGGCTAATATGCCATTTGATTACAAATTGGTTTTAATGAAAAAAAAAAGGCTTCAGTGTACAGATTGAAGTAGCTACCTCATGTCAAAGTGTGCAATTAAAATGTATTCTAATTACTTGTGTTCGACTGTGGCTTGTATAACTTTTGGAAAATTTGGGAATGTCACAAAGTGCTGATTAATGTGTTGAATTTCTTTGCTAGATGGAAGGAAAAGTGATATTAATTGTGTCTGACGTATGACAAAGTTTTCCAGCTCAGCATGACAAAAGCAGCCCAGTTGACAATCATTATTAAAAGACATAATTTCCCTTAATAATACTTTGACCAAGGACTTAAAATCGTCTGAAATTATAGGCACGCTGGCAGTTCTGCAGCATAGCCCAATTCTGTAGGACACCACGCACCTGGCAACACTTCCTATACAGCTCTGAGCACCACACATGGCACTAATTTACAAAATCACATGCAAAACTGGATGCTGCTAATTGCCCAAAGTTTAGTACATCAGACAGAATGTGTAATCAGTCGCACTTTCCATTTGTGTAGCTTTTTCGACTTCTCACTTTTTTGCCTCCGTCAAATGCATATGGATGACAAGGAGAAGTGCACTTTGCGTGTTGCACGTTCAGGATTGTATGCCAATCACACATTATTTGCAGCCTAATTACACCTATACAGGTGCAATACAGCTTAGTATATATGGCCCACACTCTCTTTCCCTCACACACACACATCTATTGCAGGAGCTTAGAGACAGACCAAAGGAAGGAGAGAAGACAAAGCATAGGAGATTAGACAGATAGCATGACTCCAGGGATATTAGGACCCCAAGATGAAGAGATCACCAGGGGATGAAAAGAAGTCTACAGCGACCAAGGGATGAGGATGAACAGCATTTGATGGATCCTCAAGAAGATAGACGGCAGGGTGTGAGGGGGACAAAGAGTGAGCAAGTGAGCGAGAAAGAGAAAGAATGTCAAATTTCAGCACATTATTCCAAGCATACCTTAATATGGACTTTAGAACACATTCATCAGTATTGCAGAAATCTTTTAGAAAGCAATGAAGCATTTCTGAAAGGCGTATGTCAGCATTCGTAAGGTTTAGGTGGGTTTGCACCTACACAAAAAATAGAAAACAATAGTCAGTTATCATTGTTGCTCAGCTGATCAAAATTGTAAGGTCTACTGTAATTCTTTTTTTTTTTTTTTTTGATCAGCACAATTATGATACTTGGAGAAATTTGTAGGTGTACATAGTGCTTGCTAACAGTGTTATAAAGGCAAATTTGATTACCACTTTAGTTTGAGGGCATTCAAATGATTTGTTTAGCAACAGTAAGTGCTAAAGACTGATTCTGTATAATAGGTTTGAATGCAGAGGGACTGCCAAAACACTTCAGTCAAAGAGCATTCATTTCTATGCTCCTATAAGACGTAAATACAATAAATACACATCCCAAAAGGTAAGATGATAGATGACGAATGAGCTGTCAAAAAAAACTAAATAATAATTTCCAATGTAAGGGAAAAAATAAAATTTTCAGACACATCAGTCTCAAACAAGCAACCCCTAATAATAATAACTGCGGCTTCGTCTCTCTTCTCTCTTTCACGTAAAGGCAAATTATACACTTCATATAAAGCATTTCATTGGTTTTGTACGAAGTCCCACCTGTGACATCGCTACTTTATAAAAAAAATAATGTGTAGCCATGACTTCTTAACAGATGGGAACAAGATTTTAATTCATGGCCACAACTTAGTAAGGAGTGGGAATGAGATCATTAAGTCATAGGAATGTGATGGATAAGTCGTAGCCACAACTTAGTAGGGTGTGAGAACTAGATAGTTAAATGTGGTCACTACTTAATAAGGTGTGATCATTGTGTTGTGCCCCTAAACTAGTGTGTGTATATATTATTATTAATGTCCATCTTTTGTCTGCTCCTTTTCGGGGTTGCCACAGCGGATCGCATATTGATTCTGGCAAGTTTTACGCCAGATGCCCATCCTGACACAACCCTCCCCATTTTCCAGGCTTGGGACAAGCACTGAGAGAGCCCTCCAGTGGCTGGGGTTGGTTCCCTGACCGGGAATCGAACCCCAGCCACTGGGTTGTGGCGGTGAGAGCGCAGCACGGCAGTGAGTGCTGCGGTGAGAGCACGGCATCCTGGCCACTAGTCCACCAGGGAACCCACTTTATTGTTGATTACTGTACATATAATCTTTTTCCTGAATAGAATTCTCAGTTTGTTTATTTAAACCAACTGACTTTGATAATAATGTAATAATGGTAAGATCTGTTTTTTAATATGAAATCATATTGAGATCATATTTCAACTCGGCCTTTTATCAGCCTCAAAATTGAAAATGTAGCAGGCACCAGGTGTCGGTTTGTTTTCCACTGAATTCAGATCGGATTCGTAGCCTTGCCTTTTTGTAGTGTGAGGCAAATCTCCCTCAAGGCTTTCTCTCATATGAGAGAGGTTTTTCTTTCCTCTCATTGGGCACACACTCATAAAATTACATCTATGCATGGCAGTTCAAAGAAAGTAATTATAAAATATTGCAAATGAAAGAAAAGTTTTGCCCAAGGTTTAAGGAAAAATCTTTTTAATGAAGTGAGCAATGCAGTGAGCAGATAAGGAAGTAGTGTTTTCTGATAAGTGTGCAGGAGGTGACAAAGTTTAGTATATAACACAGCTGTGGAGTATTTCACAGAGTAATTGAAAATAACATGGGAAATTCTTTTTGTATGAAAGCCAAAACTTGTATGAAATGGTTAGTGGTTATACCTTTTCTTACAACCTTAATCACCTTCACTTGGTAGAGTTCCTTGGTATTTCAGGCAAATCAGGGCCAAATTTTTTCCAAAGGTTTAAACAGTTTTGGCTAAATGCTGCATTAATGGAGTACGGGATGGCTGCTGTCCTTCCAATGTGATAAAATTGTAAAAGAATAGCTTTATTTTACATTTCAGCTTAGAAACATTTGTACTACCTCCTTCATTACTGTTAGATAAAACATCTAGCTAATGCCAGCTCATGTTGGATAAAAACTACAACCACCATTTTTAATTTGCACATGAAATGGCTGTGCATGAACACATTTGATTTTGAATAATAGGAAGGAGGGAAGTAATTCCCAATCTCCCCCTTCTCCAATATGATGTGAAAGTTGCAAAAGACTGAAATTTTGTTTTGGGAAGAAGAGTAAGCACTGCTTACTGCCTAACCTCTGAAAGTAACCAAGTTAGTAAATGATGTAATTAGCAAATAAATATACACTACATAGCCCAAAAGCATGTGAACACACAGATTATCACATGTATGTGTTGAACATCTCATTCCAAAACCATGCACATTAATATAAAGTTGGTCTATGCTGCAATAACAACCATTCTTCTGGGAAGACTTTCCAAAATATTTTGGAGCCTTGCTGTGTGAAATCATTTCCATTTCTCCACCAGGACATTAGTGGGGTCAGTGATATTGAGCAGTAAAGCCTTCCTCACAGGCCACATTCCTTTTAATATCAAAGGTATTGGATTGAGTTGAGGTCAAGGTTCTGTGCAGCCCAGTGAACTTCTTCCATACCAAACTCAGCAAACCATTTCTTTATGGACCTGTCATGCTGAAACAGGAAAGGGGTTATGACTAAACCATGAAATATAGCCCCAGACCATTGCTCCTCCTCCACCAAACTTTCCAGCTGGCACTATGTAGTCAAGCAGGTAACTTTCTCCTGCCAGATGATGAAGCATGATTCATCACTCCAAAGAACATGTCTTCACTGCCCCAGAGTTATAAAGACGGCCATTACACAACTCTAGTTGACGCTTGACATTTTACATGGTGATCATTGGCTTGTTTGTGGCTTCTTGGTCACAGAATCCCAATCCATGAAGCTCCCAATCCATGAAGCTCCTTATGAACTGTTTGTGTCCTGGCATTCGCTTCAAGTGGCAGTTTGAAACTCTGTAGTGAGTGATGCAACTGACCACAGATGATTTTTTACATATCATCACTCAACGCTCCCGTTCTTTGATATTCCTGCTCCTGGATGTTTCTACTTCTGCACCTACAGTTGACTGGACAAGCTCTAACTGGGCCAAAGAAAAAGTCACTTCTTCACTATGCCCCATTTTGCTGTCTGTGTTTGTTTATAGAGACTGCATGGGTGCTTGATTTTATCAACTTGTGACTGAAATAGCAAAAGTGATTGATTAAAAAGGGTCTCCATATATTTTTGGCCATGTGGTGTATATAAAGTATGAGAGACCCAATGCCATCAGTTTAGTAACACCTGCGGTGTTTTATATACGAGCACAGGTATCGCAACATAACATCATCTCTCCTAGAAAACTTCCTTGCCAGTGTACAACTGTGCATAACAAAATAGTCCCAGATAACACAATGAGTATATTCTATACGAGTATAAGGCAGCATGGTGGCACAAGTGGTCACTGAAGATGCATGGATGAATAAGTATGTGATAGATTGTACTTGTACATATACGTTTAAAAAGAATGAGTATGAAAGAGAGGAAGGTAGAGATGCAGTGTGAGAGAGGGGAAGGGAGAGAGTATGTGTGATTGATTTCCTCAGCCAAGAACAGCAGCTCAGTGATTTTCAGCAGATAATCAGGATGCATGCTTCACTCTGGAATGGTGAATTTGTGTGTGTGTGTGTGTGTGTGTCCATGCTTCTGGCTCTTGTCAGTTTGGCAGTTGTAGCAGTTCTGTAGAACTTTTTGGAGACAGGAGGGACATTACAGTTTTTGGTTTGTTTTTTTTTACAATCTAACAAGTTTACTTTTTCAAAACTCTTCACACATCTTACCATGCAGCCTGCACCAGTTCATTTCTTGCTCAAAATACATCTTAACATTTAAAGTCCTTAGAATTTTATTTTGATTTGCTTTCATTCAACCTCTGATTTACTAAGATCCGAATAACACGTGCTAATTTGCATGTCAAGGGGATAATAAAACAAAAATAGACTCATTGCAGATGATATTCAAAAAATAACTGGGTGAATTGCATCAGATGCAAAGCAGGGCTAGAAAACAGTACGTACATTATGCTTTTGCATGTGTTATTTGTTTTTGATAGCTCTGGCGAGAAGCTAGGGAAGAGCCAAACTGAAACTAAACCTAGCCACACATACACAATTGTGCTTCTAATATAACACTAACAAAAGGCTGCCAGTTGCGTCGAAAACTAAAATGCAGTGTGAACACAACATAAGAGTGTGTGTTCTGTTCATGAAGGAGTCTCTGTGTCAGTGAAAATGAACATCTGTAGTTAAATGTTGTTGTCATCGGATGTGTAAACGTGATAAATATCTAATATGAAATGTTGCCGCAGTGATATTAAGATACTGTTTGAGACACTGAGGCATAATGTTGAGACAAACCTTGTCATTATTAAAACATAGTGAATGGAATAATTTTGTTTTAATCTGGTGGAAATAGATTTGATTTTTTGAGCAAATGAACTCGCCTGCACACCAGACGTGTTAATTTGCTCATGCCATTCCCAAAGGGACTTTCTGGTGTGGTAAATCACAAAGCATGTGCTAAATTAATTTATTTGCATTGGCCTCTGCTGGTGTTTTTCACTGTTGGGTATTAAAAACTCCCTGAACATCACATTCATTAAGACAAACACGCAAAAACAGACAACACGTGTTATTTTGCCTATTTGTATGACAACTCTCCGTTGATACTGCTAGTAAATCAGCCTGCACATGTTTTCAGGTGTTATAGTCTTTCCTCATGTTTAACACAGAAAAAGTCTTTACTGCAAATTCACAGTAATTTTTTTTTTTCCAGAACAAACTCCAATATTAATCTTTACTTGAACTGAGTAGCTGCCAGCAGCCACAAGAAAAAAATAAAGAAAGAAAAAAGAAGTTTAATTTACTGAAATGTACTGAAAAATATTTTAAAATGTTGTCTAAAAGATTTGGAGATATACAAGTTCACTTTAACAGTTAATATTATATTCCAAACAGGCATAAAAAAAAGCTCTCCTTCCTTTCCTGAAACACAGAAATTAAAATCTAATTCAAATTAGCTTTATTTACATAAAATTATCACCACCCCCATGTTGTTGTTGTTGTAGTTGTTGTTGTTGTTTCCTGGTCTTGTTACAAAACAAGCTTAACTAGGAATATATTTACTCGGCTTATTTCCTTGTTCCTTTTGTCCACAACGTCTGGACATATAGACGTTTCGGACAACGTCTGTGTTTCATTCTGATGAAACACTAACGTGAACAGTGAAACAAGACGACTTAATAACACAAATGTGGGATCACTTTAAAGTTCAGAATCTTTTGACTGAATTTCAATTTACGAGCAATAAATAATTCATCTAATCTTGCAGGATTTGTGATGCTAATGATAACTGTGACATGTCATATCTCAAAGTAAAGTCGTTCTATTAAAAACACCAACACCGGTTTCCTCAAGCAAGAATACTTTGCCAGTTAAAATAGAGCAGGGCTGCAGGATATGGGCAAAAATAGCAATTGCGTATTGCAATTATAATGTTACACTTTGTGATCACAATGTGCCCTGCCTTTTATTAACACAAACTGGAAAAGCCATGATGTGTCACATTTATTTATTTAGTTTTGTTGTCATGATCACAGTGCTGACATGCTACTATTTCAAATTCATGATCAATATTGCAATACTGTACTATTTTTGCAATACAGATTTTTTTAAAACCAAGCTCAGTTTTTTGGAAAACTCATTCTGCATCTCCTTGCACGCACTATGGAAGCTCATTTCTGCCATGTATGAGAAAATATTACACAGATGTATCTCGCAATACCAACTTTTTAATCAATCGACCGTGACCTTTTTCCAGTCTCATGATTGCGAGTAATTATTGCACAGTTGAAACAAGCATAGGAATATGTGATAGTTTTGACCTTGGTGGGACATTTGCCTGTTTTTTTGTGTTGTTTGTTTGTCTTGTTTTAAGAAACTGTAGCTTTTGTTTAAAAAAAATGTATAAACTAAATGAGCCAAACGATTTCTTTTTGGTTACAGAGGTTAAGGTCAGGGTTAGATTTAGGTATAGGCACTGCATTAAGGAGCTGCATTAATAATTATGGAATGGAAGGTCAATTTAAGGTCCTCACAAGGAGAGTAAGACTAACGTGTGTGTGTGTGTATGT